TTCGTATTTCTTGTGCCTCTGTTTCTTTTCACTTGCTTCCTGTGGTTATGTGAATAATTTTTAGAATTTCATCTTGATTTACTTATAGTGTTCTTGAGAGTATTTCTTTGTATACTTTTCTTAGTGGTTTCTCTGGGTATTAAAATATACATATGTGACTTATCACAGCCTAGTGGCATTAACATTTTACCATCTCAAGTGAAGCATAGAAACTTTGCTTTCATTTACATCACTTTACCTTCCCCACTTTTAAATATCACTGTCTTAAGTATAAGATGGTGTTATAATTTTTGTTTTCATCATCAAATGCGATTTACAAATCTCATTAGAAGCAGTCTATTTTGTGTACTTATATTGATGCTCTGTTTGTTGTTCTTACTTGTTTCCTCCAAGATTTCCTTCATTTCCGTTTGAAGAATTTCCTTTAGCCATTATTTAAGGACAGACCAGTTAATGACAAATTCTTTTAGTTTTTTTAATGTAAGAGTTTTTTTCTTTCTTAATCTCTGAAGGATAGTTTCACTGGAGGTGTAATTCACACTTTACAGTCCTTTTTTTCCCCCCAGCACTTGAAAAATGTTGTGCTACTTCCTTTGTGCCTCTGTGGTTTCAGATGAGAAATCCACTGCTATTGAAATTGATGTTTTCCTGCAGGTCATGTGTCATTTTACTGTGGATGCTTTCAAGACTTTTTTTCTTTGTCTTTAGTTATTAGAAGTTTAATTATGATGTATATTGTCATGGATTTCTTTGGGTTTAATCTGTTTGGGGTTTGCTTAGTTTCTTGAATCTGTAGGTTTATGTCATTTACAAAATTTAGAAGTATTTGACTATCACTTCTTTCTTTTTTCATTTTTCTTTTTTTTTTATTTCAGCGTATTATGAAGGTACAAATATTATGGTTACATTTTATATCTTTGCCTCACCCAAGCAAGGGTTATAGGTATGCCCTTCTGCTCTACAATGCTCCCCGTATCTTTAGTTGCGGGTTTACCCCCCAATCCCCCTAATCCCTGCAGAGTAATACTGCCATGTGAGTACCCTAGTGTTCATCAGTTAGTACCAATTTGATGGCAAGTACAAGTGGAGCCCATTCTTCCGATCTTGTGATACCTCACTTTGGATAATGGGCTTAAGTTCAATCCAGGAAA